ATGCCTCTGGCTCCTGGACCAGCTCCTCCCACAGTCCTGCCCTCCCTCCTCCCTCTGTGCTTGGCCCTTCCGGGTGACGCGTTCCCTTGTCTCCAGCTTCCAGGTGAAGTTCTTCTACCTGTGTCAGCTGGCTTACTGGCTGCACGCACTTCCGGAGCTGTACTTCCAGAAGGTACGGAAGGTGAGTACTCCCCATCTGGGAAGCCCCATGTCCTCCACACCCCAGCTTCCCAGTGGGTAAGCTGCCGCACCTTCCTCTAGAAGCCCAGAGCTGGGGGGTAAGGGGGCAGGGCTGTGTTGGCGGGTTGAAGAGGATGCTGAGCCAGCGAAGTCTCCATCAGGCTCTATCTGAGAGCAGGCCTCCAGCGGGTCTCCTGCCTCCCACGCTAGACATGTGGCTTTGGGGGAGGTCTGCCTCTTGTCTTCCGGATGGTGGATCAGAGGTTATTGCCTCTCTCGGTCTTTTTTTTTTTTAATAGCCTCCCTCTGAATTACTTCCAAAAGCCCTGTTTCCCCAGTCCCTGTCTCTTCTTTCTCAACCCAGTCCCGCCTCATGGACTGGAAGCTGGTGCCTAGCAGCGTGGGGCACGGGCCTCTGGCGTGATCTGGGACCGGCTGGAGCAGAGCACCCGGGGCCACCATCGTCCCTCTGCACCTCCCCTCCGTTCCTGCATTTTCCGTTAGGGAGGGAGCATGCTTACTGCTGGTTTCTCTTGTTTGCAGGAGGAAATCCCCCGCCAGCTCCAGTACATTTGTCTGTACCTGGTCCACATAGCCGGAGCATACCTCTTAAAGTGAGTGAGACCCCAGGGCTGGTCACATTGCCATGCCCTTTTACTTCCGAGCAGCTCTCCACACAGGCATTCAGTGAGAAGGCCTTTAGAAGGCCAGAAGAAAACCTTCTGTTTGCCAGGCACCGTGCCAGACCTGGGAACACGAAGGGGGTGATCGCTTTATCTTGAGTGGTTCATGCTTAGCCCAGCGGGAGATACCGTTGTAGACACAGGTCAGGAAAGCTCAGTGTGACCAGCGTGGGGCTATGGTACATGGCCTCTGCCGTGGGAACCCAGAAAAATGACTGACTCCTCCCGACCCAGAGCAGCAGAGGCTTCAAGGGATGTTGGCACTTGAACCATGGCTTTGAAGTCGGAGGAGCTGCCATAGCGTTTGGCCTTGAGCGTCTCTTACAAAAAGAATCCTGTCAAGAGTAGGATGTGTCACTGCTAACTTGGAATTTTCTTGAGCTTTATCTGTGCAGCATAGGAGAACACCCTGTACTTTCTCTGGACTGACATTTTGAGGGTTCGCGATGGATAACTTTTTGCTAGGCTCCCCGGAGGCCCCTGCGCCCCTCATCTCCCAGGCCCTCTCGGCTGGCATCCTACGAGAGTGACTGCCCAGGGGGTGGTGGAGTCAGGAGGAAGGCAGCTCTTGGCTGTGGTCTCTTATCTCTGATGGCTGATACGGCATCAACCCCTGGCTGGGTCTTTGGGGAGCAAAGGCTGTACGGGGGGTGGGGAATCAGCTCTGCCCTTGTGTGGCAGAGACCCGGGTGAGAATGTGCGGGGAGGACCAGGTAGAGAGTGTCCTGCTGTGGGGTCCCTGTTGTACCATCGAGGTTCATCCCAAAGACGGAAGATGCTCTAGGGTCTGTATTTCTCACACCTGGCATGTCCCAGAGAAGGAGACGGACATGTATCTGACCCCATTCGGGCAGGGTTCTGTGATTCTTGTTTTGGAATCAGAATAGAACCAAGAGGGCAGGGAGCAGCAGATCCTCCAAAATGAGGCCCATTCCATTCCCCAGTGATGCTGGCACAGCCGCCTCTCTGCCCACGTGAGGACCATAATTTTCCTTCTCCATCCTTGTTCTGGTTCTCAGGAGTGTGGGGGAAAGGAGAGACCCTTGACTACAGGATTGCCTCAGAAAGACACACCGTTGAAATGGCGACTGCTGCAGGGCCTTGTTTTGGTGAAGAGCTTGACTTTTAGAGGCCTTCACTCACTCAGCACATACCTGAGCTCCTCCCTCAGGCCAGGCTGCCTGAGAAGCTGCTGTCACATCTGGGTGAGGGCAGACCAAGGCCCTGCTCTCCTGAGGTGTCCACTCTAGCAGGTGGCGATATCAGCTCAGGGTATGATCTCAGGGTCATAAGATTGAGCCCCGCACACTGGACTCTGTGCTCAGTGTGGAGCCTGTTTGGGATTCTCTCTTCCTCTGCCCCTACTCCATTCCTCTCGAAAAAGGAAGGAAGGAAAGAAAGAAGAAAGCAAACAGAGTTTCCTGTGTTGCTAAGTGTGATGAAAAGAATAATGAAGCTGGGCACTGAGAGAGAGCGACTTGTCTCCTGGCACCTTTGTTGTGGGGAGGGAAGGTGACTGAGGAGGTGACTCAGGTTGAGGCAGGAATGACAAGACTTGGGCACATGAAGATCTGGGGGGACAGCGGTGCAGGCAGAGAAACCACAGGCACAGAGGCCCTGAGATGGGAGTGGGCGGAAAGCCCACTGTGGCTGGAGTGCAGAAAATGAGATTTGAGATGAGGTCATGGGCAAGATCATGTTGGACTCTCCAGGTCATGTGAAGACATGGGCTGGTTTTCACGTCATTCCCCAAGCATCCTCAGGAACCCATGACCCTCCCCGTCCATCTGGCCCTGCCTTGGTCTCGTTGGGTGGAAGCGGCAGGATCCGTAGTTAGCACTGCTCTCCCATCATCTTGCGAGCTTTCCGAAGCCCGGCGTGTTCAGCACGATCTGCAGTTTCACTTTGCAGCCCCTCTGCATTTCTTTGAACTGCCGTTGACCCTTTGTAGCAAACTGCCTAAGAAGGTCTGTAGCGACCCTGTGCCTGGAATTGAGCAGAGGGGATGTCTGAGTGGGTGGTGCCAATGTTTTCAGAGGTTGGTTCAACTCACACGTACTTTTGTGTTATGTTGAGTTTTGCTTCTCCGTGTACCTCTTAGCCGCGAAGACTTGGATGACAAGACACCAGACGGTGGGAATCCCATGTATTTCTACCTGCAAAGCTCGGCCCCTTGTTCTGAGCACCTTTTGTGTGCTTGGCCCAGGCCAGGCGAAGCATGCATAGGGACAGGTGCTGTGAGAGCGGAAGCCAGGTTCACTGTGGGAGCGGGGAGGGGCACTGGACCCAGACAGGCCAGCTGGATGGCCGGGGGATTCAGTCTTCTCTTAAAGGCACGGGTGCAGAACTGAGTCCTCTAGGTGGAGGCCCCCCCCCCCACCCCCGCTGGCCAGGGAGAGGAGGTGTGGCGTGCGGAGCCTGGGGTGCGGGGCCCTGGCCTCGGCTCTCCATGGCACCCCGGGTGGACTGGGACGCTTGTCCTTTCCTCGCAGCCTGAGCCGCCTGGGCCTCATCTTGCTGCTGCTGCAGTATTGCACCGAGTTCATCTTCCACATGGCTCGACTCTTCTACTTCGCGGACGAGAACAACGAGAAGCTGTAGGTGGCGTGGGGCCGGCTGGCTGGTTTGGAGGGGCTGTGGGCAGGGGCCGCGTGTGAGGCCCGGCTGTGGGAGGCTCCTGCGTGCGGTGTGAACTGTCCCTTCCCTGCAGGTGGTGTCCGGAGGCTGGTGCTCGCAGCCTCTTGTTCTAGCTCTCTCCTCCCTCAGACACCCCACGGTTGCCCTTGCACGCTCTTCCCATGCGGGGTTGCTTCCGGAGAAGTGGGTGACAATTCCCTCATGGGCCCTAAAGGCTGACATCCCTTTTCTGCCTCCACGAGCAGGTTTAATGCCTGGGCTGCTGTATTTGGGGTCACCCGCCTCTTCATCCTCACACTCGCTGTGCTGGCCATTGGCTTTGGACTTGCTCGCATGGAAAACCAGGCCTTTGACCCAGAGAAAGGGAACTTCAACACCTTACTTTGCAGGTGAGTTGGGAAAAAGTCCAAGGAGGGAAATCAAGGCTCCCCAAGCCCTGCCAGGAGCCCCCTGAACTTGGCACAACTTTGGAAGGTTGGGGGCAACAGATCCCTGAGTCTCCCACACATTAATGTTTTGAGGGAGCTCTCTAGACAGCAGGCCTGAAAGGAGAAGAACCCCAGCCTTCTGCTTCCGGCAAGACCGTCTTCACAGCCAGCCTGGCCTGCTGGGACTGCAGTCAGGATCCCCAAGCAGGACTCCCCTCACCCTTGTCCAGGGCTTTGTGGGGGCACAGGACTCGCATCGTGCCCCCACGAAGGGGTTGTTAAACCGACGAAGGGGTTGTTAAAACCCCTCGGCTGGTTGTTAAAACCGCACTTGGACTCTGTACGGTGGTGTGCTTGGCAGGTTGGCCAGTGGCCTTCCATAGTGGCAGGAAGGCAGGGAGGAAGCCATTTTGCTTCCTCGTGACCGTAGGGCCCGGGAGGGGGTATGATTTGTCCGGTGTTGCTCAGCTTTCAAGTGGCATGCGAGATGAGAAGCCGGTCTCCTAGAATTATTTTGCTATATCCTAATTCAGTTTATTTGAGTTCTTTTACTACATCTGTGGAGCTGAAAGGAGTCCCATGCTGTGCCGTGGGTCAAAAAAGGCCATGGAGGCCATGTGACTAGGGAGCCGGACGAGTGTCTGTCACCTCCTCTTTCTCGGTCTCCCTCACCCCTGTCCCTCTGTCAGCACCCCTGCAGTGTGCTAGAGGGGAGGCCAGCGCGGACACACGCTCTCCCGGGGGCTGGCGCTGAGGGTGCCCCTGGGGGGCTGCGGGGCTCCTGACCTACCGTGTCTCCCTGTCTGCACCCCCACCCCCGCCGGGGCCCGCACCCCTGAGCCGGCCCTCACTCCCCCCACAGGCTGTGCGTGCTGCTGCTGGTGTGCGCCGCCCAGGCCTGGCTCATGTGGCGGTTCATCCACTCCCAGCTGCGGCACTGGCGGGAGTACTGGAACGAGCAGAGTGCCAAGCGGAGAGGCCCAGCTGCCCCCAGACTGCCAGCCAGGCTCATCAAGAGGGAATCTGGTGAGTGCCAGGCCCCCCGGCTTGGAGCAGTGAAGTCTGTCTGGGATGCACAGGGAGGAGCCGGGGCCCTCAGGCTCTCCCCCGACCAGTCCCGCCACTCCTCCAGCCTCCCTGGGGCCCTGGCTCCTGGGCTCCTGGGCTCCTGCCGGGGCCTGACCGGCACGTGGCTGGGCAAGGGCCAGGGACGCGTTGTGGGTGAGGCTGGCCCTGATGAGGCAGGGAGCCCTCCTGGCCATGGTGGGGCGGGGCGGCAGCTGGGTGGGGAGCTCTGGCGGCAAGCGTGTCCTCGAAGTGGCTTCTGAACGCCAGCCAAGGTCTGCCGCGGGCTGCCAGTGCGGCCCTGTCCTCACCTGCCCTCTGGTTCCACATTGCACCATGTGCCTGCCTCCCAGGCTGCTGGCTCCTCTTCCATCTTCAGGAGTGACTCCGGGGACATGATGCTTGGTGAACAGCAGGGGTGGGACGCCCTCTTCTCTTGTGGCCCCAACCACATTCCAGTAACCATTTGCCCCGGGTCCCAGGCCATGGCCAGCCCTGCCCTTTCTGTCCAGCCTGGGGGCCTGTCTGCACCAGGCTCTGTTCTCTGACTCACCTGCCTCTCTCCAGGTGTGGCCTGCTAGGCAGGGGCCCCCGTGTGTTTGGAGCAGACACGTGCACGGCTGGGTGTGCTGAGTCCGGCCGGGCTGGGAGGGGATGTGGGGCAGGAGGCTGCAGCTGCATGGACTCGGAGCAGGCACCGGGAGGGGTTTTCGACAACAATAAAAAGATGGCAGAGTTTTTTCTGCCAGAGGAGCATTGGGCCTCTGAGTAATGTCTTTCCCTGCAGCCTCTGCTGCCTTCTCCCCATTACCCCTCCCTGGGAGGGCATCCCCCCAGCCCATGTGCGCTGCGCCAGTCCCACAGAAACACCATGTTTGTCTCTCTGTCTCCCTTCACGTCCTAGGTTACCATGAAAACGGAGTAGTGAAGGCAGAGAATGGCACCTCCCCACGGACTAAGAAACTCAAGTCTCCTTGAGGCCAAAGTGCTGGAACAGGGATCCTCTCATGGGGGCCCAGCAGGGAGGTGGGGAGTCCTGCCCCCACCACTGCCTTCCCCCTTCTGCTTTTGATGCTGCCTCCCCAGCAGCGGGAACCTGTCTCCAAACGGGGCTTTTCCTCTTTTTTATTTCTTGGCTTTCTCTTCTTACTCTTCCATAAACCATTCTCAATAAAACCAAAACTCTTCTTCTTTCTCTCCCTCAAGCCACCTCATGTCCTCACCTCTGTGCTGTGTTGGGTTTTCTAGAAGCCCAGGCTCTCACGGTTCTCTCTTGGCTTGCCTCCTCTTTCTCTTCCTTCATGGCTGCTTTCTTTGACTTTTCACCATATTGTGCAATTTTTCTGTGTCTGATTTTTACAACGAGAGGGAGCTCAAATTGCAGTTGCGGCCATCCGACACCCAGCATCAGTGTCCAGGACCTGTCAGAGTCAGAAGCCTGGTGCCCAGGAGTCTCCGCCCAGAGCTACTAACAGGCCCGGGGTTGGGGGGGGGCGTATTCGGACAAGGAGAGGAGAGACCAGCCTTCTTGGATCATCATCTCCAGGTGCTGATTAACTGAGATGTATGATTCCAGTTCTGCATGTACCACCTGGAGGCCCGGCCGCACCCCTGCTACTTGGAAATGCAAAGGCATTTGGCTGTGGACATGGCGACCCGGCCCAGAAAGGTGGTGGTAACTGTGTGGCCGGTCCTGGACACAGGCCAGCCGGCCCTCGCTCTGCCAGGGAGGTGCTGAAGGAGGACAAGTCTCCCCACGCGCTGGAGCAAGAACAAAGCGCTTCTGGAAGGGTAAAGGTGGCAGAGATGCTGGCGTGCTCATCCTTGGCCTGCCTTCGGCTGCAGCCCCAGCTGCTTCTTCAACTGTTCACCAGCATTCAAAACCCAGCCCAACCCGGTTACCAGAGTGGCCTGGCAGATGCCAGTCCCGAAGCCCAGAGCCAGGCGGCCAGGGGAAGGGCTGACCTCGCTGCCTGACTTCGTCTCTCCCACTGCAGGAACACCAAGCCCCGCATTGGCCCCTGGTGCCACGAGGAGGCTTGCCTAGCCGGTTACCCTCTGGCTCATCTGTGGAGTGTCTGTGGGCTGGTCACTGTCATCCTGTGATGTTTGAGCGCACCTGCAACATTTTAGACTGTATGAAAGTGGGACTGACTCTGAATGATCTGCAGGGTAGATGAGCAGACATCTGTGCCAATGGGAGGCACTTTTCTCCCTCCCTTCTTCCTTCCCTCTGCTCCACCTAAAGACAAGGCCTCCAAGTCCATATAGGGCCTGGGGAGGACTTCCAGAAGGGGTTAGGCCTAGTCCTGGTTAAGAACTCTTGAATTCTGTGCTGAGGTGCAGGGAGGAGGTTTTGATGGGCATAGAAATGTGTCGTTTGAGGTGCCGGTCCTCTTTCTGACCTCACAGTGGAAGCCTGACCTTGGGTTACTACCCTGAAGGGGCGGGGGGCTCTCCATCAGGGCAGCTCCCCTTCTCCATGGGAAGAAGATACATTTAATTTTCCAGTGACTAGGGAATTTGTACCCGAACATGGCTGTAGAGCCTCCTCTCTCTGTCCAGACTAAGGCTGTAGAAATGGGAAGAATTGCCCTTGGCCTCTGATCACCCTTAGGAAGCGGGACAGCCTTTTTGGAGATCTGTATCTCTCCCATTCTTCTCTGACACTTCTCTGGACTGCAGAGCAGAACAGTGCTAGGAGGGTGGCTCGGTATCACCCCAGCAAACCTGAGCCAGGACCCCTCAGTCATTTGGCCAAATACCCCTGCCCCAGCTGCGGTTTTGTTCACAATCCCCACCTTTCCTGGTGAGGGAAGGGCGTCCACCCAGCAGCTCCAAAGCTGTCCCATGAGGCTCCCCGCCCATCCTGGTTCTCTCCTGGCCATGTCCCGGGCCACATGCTGCTCCCTGCAAGGGGCCGCTTCCTCAGGTGTGCCCTGGTGAAAACTCAGCAGCTTCGCTGTGTGCCGCCAGCTCGGAGTGGGCAAGCAGCTCGAGGCCTGCCGTCAGCCTCCCTTCTCACGGCTGTAGGTCTGAGTGTCTGTTGCCGCAGGCTGCATGGCTCAGTGTTCCCTGAGTGCCCTGCAAGCTTCTGGCGCTGGGGTGGGTGTGATTCAGAGGTGGTACTGCCAGCCCAGGGGGGGGGGCAACGTAGGCTCTGTTGCTTGAAGGATAGGGTGTGTGCAGGGATGAAGGTTAATAGAAGGATTGTTTTTTCTGCCGTGTCAACACCCAAAACCATGAGTAAGGCTAGCGTGTCCCCAGCCAGGCCTCAGGAACGATTGCGGGGTGGGGAGGAGAATAATTGTAGGGATCTCTGTCACCCCCCTGGCATCCCAGCCATGTTTATCTCCACGCGGAGCCCCGGCTTTGGCAGGCTGGCTCAAAGCAGGATGCCAGGGGCCAAAATAACCTCACTTCGTCCTGTGAGCTTGTTGTGCTGCCTTGTCCTGATGTGGCCACTTTGCTGTCGTCTTCAGTCTTAAATGCTCTCTCCAGTTCCCAAAGTGTCAAGCTGTCTGTGAGGGCCCTGCCTCCCAGCTCCGAGTGTGAGAGCCGGCTCAGCAGGAGCTGGGGACAGATGCTCATCTACCTCAGCAGCAGCCACTGCTCTCTAAATGTCCCTGACTGCCACTGGTGCAGGGCAGGGGAGGGAGGGCGAGCAGGTGGCCATGGTGGGGCAGAGTGGCTGCGGTGGCGGGGAGGACCTGGGGCTGCTGAGGTCCAGTGGTGGGAGAGTTATTTTTACCATCAGGCTCTGATAGCTGCACTATTAATAAGTTACATGTGTCCTTTTTAAAGGTAGGGGAAGGTTCAAGAGCAAAGGGGGAGCAGGGAGAACCAGGAGGGGAGCTGCTGCTCCCCTTTCTATTCCGTTCCCACCGTGTGTGTGTGTGTGTCTGGGTTACCAGACCTACATTGTTGCCCAGAACCTTTCGTGCTTCTGTCCCAAGGCAGCACTTACATTTCAGAAACCAAACTAGACTTCGTGCTCTGGCCCCCTTTGCAGCCGTGGCTCTTGACTGGAATCCTCAGACCCTAGAAACCCCTGAAGCCTGGCTTCGGTGTTCTTCTAGCAAAGCCTGCATCTGGGTTTTCCTTTACGGACCTTCTTCCTCCACACCCTTTCACTTTCTTTCTGAATGGTGAAGGAGAGATAAAGGCAGAGCATATACCCCTCCCGAGATTCCACAAGAGAAAATTCTATTCCCTGGATGCCTTTTTAAATTTGCAGTGGCTTGCCAGGCCCCATGCAGCTTGGGAACTTCCTTCACAGGTTTCAGCCTTCCTAGTCTGTTTTTCCTCTCCTGCTGAGGACTGTGGAGACCCAAGTGAACAGACTTCGTTCCCGAATGTCGTTGCCGCTCTCTGTTCTCTGATGGAGGCAGGACAGCAGAGTGGTCTTTCCTCCTGCTGCCTCCCCTTCCCACGGCCCTGCTCCTCAGAAGGCACTCTGGGCACGACCTGGGAACTGGGTCATTGTCAGATCGTGTGAAACTTCAGTGGAACCCCTCTCCGGCCCCGGCTAACCCTCTCGCTTTACTCTGCTCCCCCCGGGGACAGTTTAATGGCTGCCCCTCATCCTCTGCGTCCCCTGTGGCCCCCTCTCTCTTGTTCTGGAGGTCTCAGAAAAGCATTGGGATGTCTGTGTTCCGTGCTGACCCTGTGCTCGGCGACCCCTGAGTGCGCTTGTCCCAAGCGGACACCCCTTCTCTTTGTATAAGAAGTGCCTTACTTGCCTTGTGGCCTTCCAGCCTCCGCACGTGCTGTGTGGCCAGGCCTCTGGGGCGGGCTGTCATGTGCAGTCGAGGACACTGGACCCTGGTACATTCCATGTGAAAAGGGCACAGATTGTGAAAGTTTGGCTTCATTCGTCTCTGTTCCCTCCCACCCCCCCACCATGCTGTTGGGGTCTGTGGTATATTCTAGGTTTTGTTTCCGGTTTCTCCCTTGTGTCGGCTTTCTAGCCCACAGGGGTGGCTGCAGAAGTCTTGAGGACCCAGCCGCAGGCACCTGCGCCTTCTACCTGTGGAGGGAAGCCCAGGGACCTCCAGGGGCACAAGGCCCCCCACGGCAGACCCTGCCCTGCTAGTCCTACCCGCCCCCCTCACCTCCAATTAAAAAGAGAAGTAGCCTGGCTATAACCTCTTCCAGTCTATTCTGCCTCCCATTCATCCCACAGTTGATCTGATCAAGGTGTTTACTTTTACTTTCCAGTGGCAAGTGTGTGCTCACAGACCCCAGGCTGACAGGGGGTCTGCTTTGGCTGTTGCAGAGTTTCTTTGCGCTCCTAACTCAGTGTTAGCCATGTTAGCAGCCGCAGCTGCCTGCCTGCCCTCTCCTTGCTCCTCCGGGTTGTGCAATAACTCTCCCAGCCGGTGGTCTTTCCACAGGCCCTGCTGTCCCTAAGCGCCCTGCAGCTGGGAAGGGAAGGGACCCGCGGGAGGGTGGTCGTCCTCCACTACAGAAGAAACGTGTGCGCTCCTCTCCCTTTATTGCTGCCATCCTCTTCATCCTGGGTGGGTTTCCCTGGCACGCTCCTAGAGCATTGTAGCATCACCTTAGAAGTCCATAGATTTTTTTTTTTAAAAATCTGTTGAAAAGGAAAAAATAAAAACCATCCTCATGATGGGGCATTAAAGAAGTCAGCATCTGGGAATAAGATCTCTTGGGACACCGGAGATGTCCCTGTCACTGTCTAAGAGCTTTCCAGAGCTGCTTGTTCGTGTGCAGAGGAAGGAGGCGGTTCTGAGCAGCAGCCACGCGTGGCCTGGCCACTGACAGGAGCCAGCGGGGACGGTAAGCTCCACATGTCCTTGGGTGCGGCCTCGAGTGTTCGGTGAAGAGACCCTGCACCTCACTCTTCAGTTCTCTTGTTCAGTAAACACCTGAAGGGCGAGCTGCGGCTGCCGGTGCCGTGAGCAACTCCTAATGCAAATGTGGACAAGTTGTCTTCTGGTTTGTCTACTTTAGCCTGTTCATGTTACGGACCAAATTTCAACAAGGAACTCAAGGAAAATTTGTACCTGCCGTATTTATGCTTTCATGTAAAAGGTTTTTTTGGGGGGGCGGGCGGGAGTGGGGAGTCTTTTTACTTTCAGTGAACTTTTTTCAAAAGCCTTTTCCACGGTTTCTGTCTGGTTTTAAAACAAATTACAGTTTTGTATGGATTTTTTTAATGTACATTTTGAAACAAATGATCAACAAATATTTTTGAAATAACTGAATAAAAGACATAGAATTATCAGTCTAATTGTCTCTGGTCACATTCCTTATATTTTTAATCTGGATGCTTATATTTTCATTTGAAAAATAATTTTATGTCCCATTTTAGTCTCATCTACAAAATTTTTCGCTCTATTAGTCCTTCCTTGTATAGCTTTTTTAAGCTGTATTTGTTCCTTTTGGTCCTAGGAAGGAGGGAATTGGAATGAAGGATGGAGAAAGTTCTCTTGAGTGTTGGGTCGTTCTAGGCATTTTTTTTTTTTAAGATTTCTATTTATTTGACAGAGATCATTCGTAGGCAGAGAGGCAGGCAGAGAGAGAGAGGGAAGCAGTCTCCCCGCTGAGCAGAGAGCCCGATGCGGGGCTCGATCCTAGGACCCTGGGATCATGACCTGAGCCGAAGGCAGAGGCTTTAACCCACTGAGCCACCCAGGTGCCAACATTCTAGGTATTTTTTGAGTCTGTAACCATAAAGTAGAAAAGGGGAAAGAAGTTTTCTTGACACGGGGTCTGCTGACAAGCTCCAGGAGGAAGCACTGCGAGCTTGCTGCGTGATGAAGTCACGGGCTGAGGTGTGCGTGTGAACTCTTGGTGCTGAAAGTATTCATCCCAACTGTGGGCCGTGGGGATTGCTGGGGTCTGTTCTGTGACCTGGTCTTGATGGCAGCAGTCTCTGTTTTCCAGAATGTTCTTCAGAGAGTGCAGGGGAGGAGCGCAGCTACAGGAGGCAGTTAGCCATGGACCCCCTCAGGGCATGAGGCTTGCATAGGAAGTGTTCACCTGAGGTGAAGCTGAGGGACCCATGGAGGGCAAGCTCTGCTGCAGACCTGGGTCCAGTCCAGAGGACACTAGTTAACCTTTCTGGGCTTGTTGGCTCATCTGTGTTCTACAGTTTTGGGGGTTGTGTGCTTGCTGATTGTTTTTGAAGGGAGTGGTGGTGGTGAGACTTAGGGACGGTCAGTGCTGAGTTCATGGTACAGGTAAAGCACTGGGGTTTTTTTTGTTTTCTGTACTGAGCATGTGTACTGTGGCTCTTCAGTGCCAGCAGGATATTAAAGAGTCACTCACCGAAGTGGCCCTTGATTCCATGGAGACATTTAGAGAGGTCTTGTCCACCTGTTGGTCCCAAATGCCCTCAAAGCTTATAGGTATGGGTTTGATACCCCCTGATGAGCTGGTATTTTCCAGGGCCCTGGGTGGTATAGACAGTAGTGGCTAACTCAGAGCCCGTCTTCACCCACAGGGCAGATTTTCCTAGCCCCGAATCCATAAGCCATCCCAAGCCATCCTGTCGCCATCATTCAGTTAGAGTGGACAGCCACAGCTCTCAGTGGCCTCTGTGGCAGACACGAGGAGTGAGGCGACTTGTCTCCCCTCCCGGGTGGCCGCTACACTGCTTGCCGCAGGCTGACGCTCTGCTCTTCTGTCACCTCCGCCAGGATCCCACTACAGGCAGGGGGCGACTAGCCTCCATGACCTCAGGTGGCTGCGGTGCCATTTGGAATCCAGGAGAATGATGCTTGTGTGGCTCTACCTTCAGCTTTCTTATCTAAGCTGAGCAGGGAGGTGGGGACCCCAGAAGTGACCTGCTGGCTCTGGTCTTCTGGGGAGTGGCTTCTGGACCTGGTGATGGAGCTTCCCCGCTCGGGTAAACGTGGGGAGGAAAGGAGCCGGAGCTGAAGGCCTGTAGGTGAGCGGGGCGGGCTGTCCTCGGCCCAGCTCGAGGCCCCAGATGTTCACAGGTGCACACGTACAGAGGACCAAGAGAAGAACTGTCCCAACGAGGCGAGAAGGGTGAAGAGCACTGGGACCTCAAAAGGTGAGTAAGAGAACATTTTCCTAATGTCTCCCTTTCAGCTAAGGACTGAAGTCAGCAAGTACCTCCGTCCGCTGCAGTTGGTGCAGATCCAGGAAAGACTGAGGATGCAAAGTTTTGCGAACTTCCCTCTCCCAGGGGTTGTAGAGAAGTCCCTGGAGTGCGAAAGGTCCACAAGCTAAGTGTGGGAGATGCCCCGAGTCCCCTGGAGCTCAGAGCAGGAGAGTTAGCACCGCATTCTAACCTCCTGAGAGCCTCCAGCAAAGGGACCAGCTGTAACTACACAGCCCAGAGAGCAGTCTAGTGGACACACTGGCAAGAGTGGAGGCCCTGGGAGGGGAAGCCCAAGGGGAACCCCCCCCATGCAGAGGGCCTCTGGAGAGGAGGAGGAGGAACATGGAGGGAATGTGCTGTTAGAACCAGGCATGCTGGAGATGGGGAGATGGAGACATCTGAGGGTGCACAGCAACCTTTCTTGGGGGGGGGGTCCTACGATCACACAAAAACTGCCCTGGGGGCGGGGGGGAGAGCCAGTCTTTCAGTGCACAGGACACACAGAAGGCCCTGACCCAGATGGGGACTTCACAAGCCACAGAAATAAAACTTTGCCCTTTCCCTCTGGTGTCTACTCCCTCCCCTTCCCGGACACTACACAGGCCAGAAACAGCAGTGTGGCTGAATGGGGGCAAAGACAGCGAAACCAGAAGGAAGGGGAAACCCACTGTATGTGTCGTAGGGCTCAATCTCAATCTCTCGCTCGCTCGGTCTCTCTCTCACATACACACACACACACACACACACACACACACACACACGCACACACACAGGCTTCTAGGCTTGGGCAGGCAGGATAGAGCTTTGTAGTTTTACTTTAGACTGAAATGGATTTCTGAATATTTAGAAATTAGGCTTTCAATAGTAAAGTGACTGGGGGTAACAAATTTAAAAACGGGTTCTTCTGGAGATAAGGGCCTGGAGCAGGAAAGTAGGAGTCAACGTGTATGGTCTTATAGCCCTTTGAATAAGCTAGTTGGATGTGGCTTGGCTCATCAGTGGAGGAAGAAGAAGCAGTTCTGAGAGGGCAGGTGTCCTGGATCCTGTAGGGACAGCTCCCCCTCCTCTACATCCCTGGCCGAGGGAGGGGGCAGAATCTGGGCTGGCAGCTGGAAAGAGGTGGGGGTAGCTTCAGCTGGGGAGCAGCCCCAGTTCTAAAAGCTGAGGCAGAGCTCATCAGAGGACCAGTACCTCTGTCAAAGGTACTCTCAAAGCAAGGCCCTCGAAAGCCAGGCTCTCGAAAAGCAGCATTTTTCTATATATTTTAACCATAATTCACATCAAGGAATACATTTTCCATTATGGCCCAATAAATACACACTCAGTTGAAACAAAAAGTTTCGTGAACCAGTATATAACCTATTTGTACCATACTCTGATATTTTCTTTTCTATTCCATTTTTTAAAATGTAGCTCTACTAATGGGCCTAGAGCCACAGTTTGAAAAACATGGATTTCCCCGATACTGGGGAGAACAGGCATGTGGTGGGGGACAGCGGCTCACAGCAGCATTAGACTGTGTGCTTAGTTCCGGCACCCCAGATGCTGCTGCTCCCTGCAAAATCTAGCTTTCCTTCTGCTCGTGGTCATTCCACACCTGTGGTAGTCAAGGTTCTCCAGACAAACAACCAATGGAACGTGTATGTAGAGAAAGAAGTTTCTTACAAAGACTGGGCTTTTGTGATTACGGAGGCTGACAAGTCCCAAGATTTGCAGCCAGCAGGCTGGAGCCCTGTGAGAGCGGCTGGTGTAGCTCTGGTCTGAAGGCCAGGCCAGCAGGCACCAGACCCAGGACGAACCAGTGTTTAGTTTGAGTCTGAAGACAGGGACGAGTTGATGGTACAGTTCAAAGGAAGGCAGGAGGCATTCTTGCTTGGGGAGTGGTCAGCCTTTTCCATTCAGGCCTTAAAGAGACTGGATGTGGCCCACCCCCAGGTCAATCTGCTTTTCTCTGCCTACGAATTCAAATGTTACTCTCACCCAGAAAGGGACACACCCAAAAAATGTCTAACCAAACACCTGGGCACCCCATGGCCCCGACAAGTTGACACAAAATTAACCATCACAATACCCTTCCTCCCTAAATAAAGCACCAATCTTAGCTCTTAAAAGATCCAATTTAATTTAGACTTAAGCATTCTTAGATTTCAATCTAAGAACCAAAAAATATAATTTTAAGAGCCCTATGAACGCCTCTATGAAAAGCACAAGGTGTTTCAAAATGTAGGTCCAACCTCAAAACGTCGTGCTGTGTTCTCCGTCCAGCCTGGTCAGTTTGAGAAAGCACGGACAAAGTGGTAGTAGTTGATCTTGTCTTCTCCGTGTGAGCACAGCCTGAGCAACTGCAGGAGAGAGCGGAGAGCAGGTGAGCAGAGCAGCATCCCCAGCCTTTGTAAACCAAGGCAGAGTTTGTACCGTGGATTCTAAAATGCTCCTGTGAACCTGGCAGGTAGGGCAGACACAATCCTCATCTTCAACTTAATGAAACTGAAACTCAGGCAGGGCCGATAGCCTGTCAGAGATTTCAGGACTCACATTTATAAGAACATTGTCATTTCCAGAGCACTTTTAATTATTTTTGTATTCAAATACGAGCTTTGTCCACCCAGTCTGCCCAGAGTAAAACTCTTAAAATAGCAAACTGCTGTTACCACAGGCTAGTAGAAGAATCTAGTTCTGTCACTTCTCATTGGCCTTAGTTCAAAGGCCAAGAAGCCTTACGTCACTGCACAAACCATGTCTAAGAAGTTCCACTGTGGGGGGAATAGCCTGATCTGCTGTGGTTACCTTGCCATGTGCAAATCCTTGCCACCCATACCTTCCCCACCCCTGTGCCTGCTGACCACAATTCCGCTCTCCTAAGTCAAGTTCACAGATAGTACAAATGACTTAAAAAAATGAAAAGCTGGGCATGCTGTCATTCTAGAGATTTGGGAAGCAAAATGGGCATTTGCCCAAGTGAACACGTTCTCTTCTATCTGCCCTCTTCCCCTCCCTGCGTGTGTTCCAATATCTGAAAAATCCTCTTCTCCAGCCTAGCCCCTCCAGTGCCACATGACGACCTCCCTCCCCTAAAGGAGTCTTCACTTCTGAACATCCCTTTTTGCTCAAAAATCTTTAAGAAGGTCTACAGCAGGGTTTTTAT